TAATTATAAAAAGTTGGAAGATTATTAATTTAAAGTTTATAAAAAAAACGTAAATTATTATTTTATAAATGTATTATGAGTTAGAGATGATAAATTTATAGTGTTCGATTTAGTGACTCCGAGAACTGAACTCGTTATTATATTGATGTAGTTATTATGATCAACCTTAGTTTAGTTGAAGTAAAGTTATTATATTTTTTAGATAAAATATATATTTTATAACAATTAGATTCATTTAATTAAAATAATCACAACACGTAAAAATCTCGATCTAGCATGTTTTTATTCAGAAAAAAACTTAATTGTATTTTCATCTCGTATATAGAGATATTATTAATTCAAATTGGTTTCTTGTTTCTTGTGTCATTAGTAGAGAATTACAGTGTTATAATCACTGTGTATATATCATTTAAAGAGCGAAATGTGTGAATTCGTGTGAATTGTAGAATAGAATGTGAAAAGATAAAAATACGTTTCGAATATATAACACCTAAAGTTACTGTTGATTAGTATTGGATTAATAAACTTTTTAAGAGTAATTAAAAGCTAATGTTAATTTAATATGTTAAATATTAATGTTAATTAAAAATAATTAAATATTAATTAAAAAATTATGAATCACAAAAATAATTCTTTTTTTTAACATTTAAATAGTGTAAATTTTTTAATCTAAATTAATTAAGTGATAAAGCCAGTTGATATATATACATATATATATATATAATTTGGAATAAGATCTCATAATTCGTCTTAAATAAATACCACTTGATTGAAAACAGTCTCATGAGATCTGACGAAAATTTTAACATACATATACATATACATGCATATATATATATATATATATATTCTTTTCTGTTCTAAATCAAGAATGTCCATTAGAGTTATGATATTCTGGTTTTGACAATCTTTTCTTTTCTTTCCTAATTCCTCCGTACTCCTTGTTTCTGCTGATATGCTTAATTCTATATATATACATACATATATATATATATAAATGTATATATAGAGTATTATATTTAGAACTCTGTTTTTCGATATGGGTACGTAGAACTCTATTATATACTATAGGGAATGCATTATTTATATAATGCTAATTCTATAGTACTCTACTAGGGTATTTATAAGGTATATTTTTTCATTGATACATATCGACTGATGTATAATAATAAAAAAATATAATAACCAAGATAATAAATTAATAATTTAAAATTATATTATTATTATTATTATTATTACAAATATTATACTTAATTAATTAAATTTATAAATATTTATTTAAAATTAATAATAATTTTAAACTTCTAACATTTGGGTTATTGCTTGTTAATTATCTGTCTAATGATTTGTCTTATTGAGAAGATCACCCGTGATTAATTACTGTCCCTTAATCATGTGACTTGTGTACACATTTAACACTTGAGAATTTTCAAGCTCACCCATTGTAAGTATAGGTTTATAACTATATAATATAATATAAAGATATATATATGGGTCTTCGTGTTATTTGGCATTTACCATGAATTATTATTGGAATTATATATATATCCAAGTTGATAATTATTAA